TCATGACTAGAAGAAGCTGCTTGAAATTGGTCGTACAATTGTTGTACGGACAAATTGTGGAGATCAAGCTGCTGTTTGTTGTGTGTCGTACACTTTTTGCAAACGTCATGAAGGAAACCAGACATTTCGGCTGCTGGAACGATAAAAGCCGGAACAGCCTCGTTCACAGACGTATCCAGCTGTTCTGTACCCCCATGTACCCCTTGGTCATGGTAGTACTTGCTCAGTGCGAACAGCAAAGACGAAGACGCACAAGACTGTTGTGTTTTTCGAAATGGTCGCTGATGTTCACGGTGCTTTTTGCGACTAAAAAGTAGTTTTTTGTAGTGATCTTCCAGCTCTTTCATGTCAGTACTGACCCACGTTAATTCGACCGACAAATCGAGATAAACGAGCATCTCTTCGATAATATTCGACGGTGGGAGGATGAGTAATCCTGAAGTCCAAAAGTGGGTAAGAGGCGCAGTCGCTCCCATGTGAAGACTTCGTAGCGCATACGAAGAATCTTTGACTGAAGACGTCGAAGATATCCCCATGTCAAGCAGCAGACGTTTCTTCAAGTCAAGATTTCCACCCCCAACGACTGGTGCAGTGTTGACTGACGAGTCCCATTCTAGGAGATGGAAGCGCTCCCATACATCTTCCAGAGCGACCAAAGCTTCACTTTCTGCCGTGTACTGCAATGATAACGACGGTTTATCATTGTCTTCTGCCAGACGCAGTGCAGCTCGACTGTTCTCATCGAGGAAGACCCGATGCAGCTCCAACAAGTGCGTCACCCCGTCAATGTACGCACAGTCTGTAGACTCATATTTGCTGACTGCATCTTCGAAAGCTTGCCACTCACGTTCTCGCTCGCGTGGTCGGACCTCACCAAACCAAGACAGCTCACCAGCGCGCGCAAGCTTCCTAATATTTGTTGAAAGCGAGACACTATCGTCCAATTCCGTACCTTGAATTGTAATTTTCTTCAGGAAAACCTGAAAATTCACCAAACGTTGTCGATGTTTTAAACCTACATTTTTCTGAAAAGTCTGAAGTATCGCAAAATTTGATGTACATCGCAATATTCGGGCCAAATGAACATTTTCCTCACGTAGCCCAGTTAGCAGTTCCTGACGCATCAGCGACGCGTGGTGTTGACCTTGTAAATGATCCGGGTGAGCGTCAAATAAATCTCCAGTGGCTACAGCAGCTTCGGGACTGAATCGGTTTGCCATCTGGTCGAGTAAATGTCGAATTTTATGATGAAAAAGTGTCTGCCAGCGCTCAAGTCGCCTCAATCCGGAGTGCGAACCTTCAGTAGTACTTTTCGTTTTCTGTCGAGTACTACCAAAGCGGGAGCCGCAACGAACCCGCAGCAGCTCGAGTGTGCAGCTGAATTGGTGGAAAATATACACCAACGTACGTAAAGTTTTCTCTCGATACTCTTGGAGACGTGTGGCTTGTGCTGTGGCTGCTCCACTCGCGGGTCTCTCGTTGTTAGCTGCAATTGCGAGCGTGTGGAGTAAATTGCGAAATGACGGGGTGGAATCCAGTAAAACGTGGATATCCGAGCTAGAACTGGAGCGGTTTAAGTCCGTATTGTAATTTTTAGAATCCAGAGGAGAGGAACACGTCGCTGGCGGCGTAAGTAAACGTTGTTCGACTTTGGGACGTTCGTGGATATTTAGATCCACTTTGAGTTGATGCAGCTTGACCATCAGCCACTTGATCAGTTTACTATCTTGGGTTTTCTCGTTTCTAATAGTAAAAACACTTCTAGCACGCGTGGCGGCACTCAGTTGTTGCATGAGCTTTTTCTCGTTACGAAGACGTTGAAGATGGGCGTTTAATGTACACAATAAGCGTGGGTGGCATTTTTCATCATCCAAAACTTGACCGCATGATACTAAACCCCCACGTTCTAGAAGCTGTTGCTTGAGACTCTCGAGTCGCTTCCAGTACGGGAAGCAGCTCGTTCTCAACTCTTCCGTCATTTTATCCGCGATTTCTTTCGCGTATTTCGTGCGCACCGTGTTGAGATCCATTGATATCGTTGAGCTCTCGTCCGAAGTTGTGGGTGTGAAGGAGTTAGCTAAACAAACGTAAGGATACGAGGCTGCGAACTCGAATACGTCGGCCCCAACAGCATCGTGGTACTTGACACTCACCCGAAGATAGGCCACATACCGACGCTGGAGCTGAAGCAAGGAGCGTCTCCGAGGCTCGAGATCCTCCGCTTCTATATCATTCTCACTACTACCGTCAGTACAGCCTCCCAGCTGCGCTTCGAGCCACTCGGATATGGATTTACTATCGTCACTTCGATGAGGAGAAGGAACATTTGTTGCTGGTAGCTTTAGCTTCTCCAATTCTATCGCAAGTGGCTTAAGAAATCCAGCTCGATCGCACTCTCCAACGTCAAAGAAGAATGCAAAATGTCTCGCTTGGTCTCCGATAAGTGAATCCCAAGTAGAAACGTGTTTAACAAAGTCAAACTGAAAATTGTGGATACGCTCAAGTAAATTCGCTTCGTACACATTCTTCGCAAGTGTTTGACGCCAATTTTCCAGTTCAATCGCCTTTGTGAGACTCTCGACAAGCGTCGAGGATCCATTTGGTTGCTCATGAAGTGTACGACAAACATCCGACAATAGTTGAGGATACAGGATAAGCTGCCAGCCGCAACCGACTAATAAATCTCCAGCCGTTCGTTCGAGACAACGTACAGGTCTGCCGGGTAGCTCCAGCTTGATAATTAGGGACCACATCACCAACGTGCTCTCCAAAAGAGCGTGTTGAAGCGCCTGGAACTCCCCAACAGAAGTGGCAGAGAACCATTTATCGTCGGCGTCGCGTACCACTTCGTTATACTGTATATACAGCTTAACCAGCGCGCGCCTTCCCAAAATTTGTTGACAAATCCATTGACGCTGGCTATTGTCAATTTCACAATTGTCTTCAGCAGAAACGTCGTGAAGATTACACCACTCCAGTCGTTTAAAATGCTGCTCCATCTGCTGAATCAGAGAAGTTTGGAGCTCCAGAAGGATCGTCTCGGTCGCGTAGCTCTCGAAAAAATACGCGTGTGAAAAATCAAGATAAGGTCGTCGCTGCAAAATTGGCAGTAGAATATCACCAAAAGAGTCAGCATTGGCTTCATGTACGAAATTCAACTCTGCAAAGTCTTGAGTTCTTGGGGCAGATTGAAGACCGTTCTCAAGGAGAATCTCCACAAGCTGCACTTTGGTCTGTAGGAACGCGACCTCGCAGTCGTAGACATCGCGAAGCACTTGCAGTCGATCGATGGGAGTCACAATGCGTTCGCTGTAGTTTTTGTCATTATTGCGCTTCCATGGAGATGTGGGGAGACTGTCATATTCCTGCTTGAAGATAAATATGCTAGCTATTCGTAACATTTGGAGCTCAAGCATCTCCAAGTCACGTCTTGCAGCTGCGAAGATAAACTCTCCATCTCCACTATTGTCATTTTCTTCGTCGTCAGTGTCATTTTTTGCTGAACGAGTAATGATGTAGTCACCACTTCTATCGCATTTTGTCACGCTCCAGGGGAATATTGCATCAGATACCGTAGCAAACGTTGAGGATACCGACTTTGTCCCACTTTGCTGATGATTGTGCGTTGGTTTGGACGAAGTTTCGTGCAGAGAGTTACTATGAGAGAACTGAATAAAGTGGAGATAATTTAGCAAGCGCAACAAACTCAGTCGCTTTGCTCGGCACGAGGAGACTCGCAGAGCGTAGAGAGAATACAGCGCGTCGGGATTCCACGAAATACATCCTTTGGCGTCCCCATCTGGATCGTCAGCAGCTCCTGTAGTTTCTTCCACTTGTTGGCTTTCCACAGTGTGTAAACCTGTAGCTGTAGCCACGTCGACTTTGGCTCGAGTCCTATGCGCTTTGGACAGCGCTTCCAGCCTGACACGAAGATAGTCAGAGTCGTCCAGAGTAAGTAATTCCCACTCGTTCGTCAAGAGAGAATCGAGTTTGTGTGCATTGCGAAGAGCTGTCAACGTGTGCTCAATCGGCCCCGGAATCGGCTCGCAATTACCGAGATATCCACGCTGGATAAGGTCCCATCGAGAGCTCCCCGTGTACGTATGCACTAACGTTTCCAAGTTCATTTCCAATCTCCTGTCAGTGTTAATAACATCGTCTGGTGGAAAACTAGAGACTATTGCAATAAGACACTCGTCTGCAGATTGCCTAAAAGCCTGGCATTCTTCATCATTCTCCATGTCAGGAGGGATCGGCAAAGAATACTGTTGCGCCAAGGCTTTCAACTCTGCAACAAAGTGGGATGTAAACATCACGAATAGTGGACAGTGCAAGTGATCTTCGCTGTTCCTATACGCCGTCGATACGTTAGGTCGAGGAGTATTTTTCATTTTCTGCTGGTGGGTAAGCGCCAGCATACGTTGTCGAAGATGGAAGCGATGACTTACAGGCAGCCACTTGAGACGGATGAAGAATCTCTCCATAGCAACGGACTGTTGATGTTTCAAGTAGTTGAATTGGAGCAGCAAGTTCACATCCTGGACGTGTACAAAGTCAATAGCGTTAGCAGAAAATCTGTCCTGTCCATGCTCGAGTCGATGATAGCTCTCTAGCGCAAGGGCACGCAGCCTCAAGAGACTTGGAGAGAGTATCGACTCCGATCTTTTCACTGCGCAATGAGCAGTAGTTGCCACTTGCACGTTCAGTAGTGACAGCTTCGAAACGAGAGTCTGTAGCCATGTTGGATGCTTTGTCGACTGTGATACGCTCTCAAAAGCATCGACCTTGTTGTCCTGACGTTGATATCCATACTGTTCGCCTACCTCTTTCCATTGTTGGTCTCGTCGATTGGGTAACTCGCGTAGTAGTACTAGACCGTCTTGAGTTTTCAATAGTAAATCTTCCAGGTCTTTTCCACTTGAACTACATGTAGTCGATTCCTGCTTAATCTTCATCGCGTATTGGAGAAACGATTTCCATTCCAACGAGAAATTCTGTCAGGGGTACAAAAATGTGCAAGTTCAACGACTCTATAAAGTAATTTTATGTTTGTAATATGCTCGATACCTGAGCTGTGCGCTGCAGTCGCTCATTTGCCTCCACCAGTTCGGCCTGTCTTCGAGATATGGCAGTCGGTTCTAGAGTAGCATCGTCCAGATTGTCGGACTGATCTTTGCGAATATGCTGTCGCTGCTTCTCTCGTATTTCCATCCTACACAAGCACCGAATTTGCAGGTGTGTGTTGACATGGACACAGGATAATGGAGAAGAAACGGTTTTGCTGCAAGAATAGCAGTGCCAGTTAAAAAGAATAAATAAAGAGATCATGTAGTAGACTATTAAATGCGCCACGTGAGCACGATTGCTGAAGCAGAGTCGCTCTTTTTGACATCGTCAGGAGCCTCTGGTGGGATTCTCGATATCCAGGAGGCGCAGCAGATGCTCGATCGGCTAGAATTCTCGAAGCTCCACGCAATTGGACGCTATAATATGAATTGCTATACTTTATAAAAATAATGCAAATCTTCGATTTCACTCACAAAAAATAATACATGGTCAAAGCTTCCAAAGCTTAATGCTTGGGTATACAATTCGTACATGTAGGGAAATGCCCGCCAAAAGCATCCAGCATGTGGTCTTTTTTATCGTTGGATCGCCGCTCTTTAACGATGCAGCAGCGTTGCAAAAGTGCTGTAACGGGGCGATAGTACGGCAGGATCACATCTGCGGCATCACATTCACTTGCAAATTTGCAGCACCGTCGTCAGACCAAGCACCAGTCAGATCCCTGCGCCATGGCATCTCGCAGCACTCCTCCACTGAGCACTCTTCTCTATGTACGCGACAAGGCAGCAGAGCCCAAGAGAACGATGAAGGCCACCGTCGGTGGTACAATGAGCTCTCGCGATTCCTTCGAGGCGAAACTCGTGCGCACGATACATGAAGTCTTTGCCGCCAAGGAAGAGAGCCAACGACTGCCTACTGATCTCGTCACGAAGGAGAGCAAAAACGTGTTCTGGCGGCAATTTGTCATCTCAAAGGCAGCGATGATTGCGGGTCACCGCTAGAATTGAGCACGGGGGAAGGAAAAGGAAGTCAAATACATGTACGATATTCGGTAAATCCTATGGTTAGTATCGCAACACGCCCTAAGGTCAGCCTTTTGTTTGTTTGTTTGTCAGCGAGTGTCACTTTACTTTGTGGGGGAGGGGGACAACGAAGCGCGTATTTCGCCACAAAACTTCCAGTGGCAAAATTGGTACGAAACGTAAAGCACAAATGCAAGACGTCAATATTCGTATACGCATCAAAGCTCGCAGTCCAAAGCATTCAGCAAGTCTTACAATCGCTGCTGCTATGGTAATAAACGTTCGGATATCCGTAGCATGAATAGTAATTTATACGCAAGGTGGATTGAGTGCTGGCAGTGCTACCCACGCTAGGTTATACCCAGTTGCATTTCCTTAAATTTTCGTGTAGTACTGTGCGGCATCGAGCCGCTGGCGCGCTTGGTGTGGTTTGCACTGTAGCCAACGCGTATTCCTCCTACTGGTACTACTAGCACTTTCCTGTGAGTGCTATCCGAATATACAAATTCAACGCTACTAAGTTTATAAATCATTGAAAATTGTAGATCACCGCGGTAATCGCCGAAAATTCAACCTCTAGGGCCGACCTAGCTGCACGAATGCGTGCGAACTGATGAGATGGGCCGTTGTTGCGCGCTTCCGCACGCTCACCGTGGCCTTACTGTCCTCCGATGCCGACCCGGCATTGGTTTTTTTGCCGGGAAGCAGCATCCTCATCTTTTGCGAAAACTTCGAGTTGTGACGCTGCTGATTCGTGGTGGTGGTGGCTGCGGCAGTCTGGTTGATCGCCTTGTCAGTCCTGTTGTCAACGTTCGCTTGGGTCTTGTCATGTAGGAGCTTGAGACTGCCGTGGGTGTTCAAAGGGAGTGCGAAGCGAGTGTGTGCATTCATCGCGGTATTATAGCTGGAGTCTTGGGGTGCTGTTGATCTGCGATGCAAGTTGCAAAGTGAGAAGCTCCGTGCCGCTTCCAGCTGAGCAGTACCATCATTCCTGAAAAATGCATTGCTATCTTCATTCACTATCGAATGAAGAGAACTGAAGTTGCCTTGAGGGGCCCATGATCGCCATTTTCTGAGCACCCAGTCAATAGTCAGCTAGAAATTGTAGTCTTCAGTTTTCGAAGTGCAAAGATGGGGTAATCGTCAAAGTGACGCATCAAGATCCTGTTATCCTGTATGAACTCTGTCATCGGACACCAAGCGTTAATTTGTATGATACAGTATATCTTATGCTGTTTTTCGATTATTGCGATTTGAGATAGGTCGTGTTCGCCGATTAAAAACTTAAAGTGAATGAATGGTGGTAGTGTTTGTACTGTACATGTACCACAAATTGCTGGTATATGTACAACAAATTGCCGGTAGCTCTACAATTTCTAGAGCACCAGCCAGCTATCAAAAGAGAACACCAAACTTAGCAAGGACAGCTTCTCTCGTTGTTAATTTACAATACTGTCATCGTGCGCACCGTTTAGGGTGAGCTTGTCAAATCTGCTGCTCGCGCTAACTCCACCAAAAGCGAGGCCGGTCTACCTAGGAAGGCCAGTGTTCACGAAGGCTCTTGCCTCGACAAACTGTCGGTAAAACGGGCTCTTCTTCGCCGGCAGATCGGTCGCGCCCTGCTCCCGTTCAGCTTTTTTGCCGGAGAGCAGCTCCTTCATCTTGCGCGAAAACCTTGCCGTGGATTTGCGAGGCTGCCCATTGGCGCTGTTTGTGGTCATCTCTGCGTTGGTGGCAGCCGTCTTCTCGCGGATGTACATGAGCGTGGCAGGGTTGGTAAGCGGGAGCGCGTTTCGTGTGGCCATCAAGGAGGGGTTCATCGTGTTGTTACTGCACAGCTGAATCTGCAAATGAGAGTCAAGTGGCAAGGTGCTACAGCAACGATACGCATGTAACGTAGCATAATCACAATTGCAACAATTACATTGTATTGTCCAATCCCGAAGTAACAGCTCCATCGGAATCACAATGATCTGTGCAGCGCAAAAATCGGTTGTTGTGCTGAATGAACTTCGCACCGACAACGCAGATACAGTGCATCTACTAATCTAATCAATCCGACCCAGCCTAATAGTTGACCACGGACCAAAGATTTATGTCTTTCAGAAAACCCTTTAGCATAACTAGTATAAGACGCAGAAAAATCAACCAAAAGAAACAAAAGAAATTCCGCTATTTCAATGTTGGCGTGCAAACAGTGCTCAGATGTAACCCTCACCAGATTCGATTTACTCAGAGATTTCTGTGTCATAATGACAGTGTATCGGTAATAGAGAGATATCCTTCGTGCTTTCAAGTGGTTATACTTTGCTGACAGTGAGTAAGAATCAACGACGGAAAATCGATGGTTTCGTCATGACCATCGTAGCTGGGGACGCCACAAACTGTTTCGCCTGCGCGGTCTTCTTCCCTGGTGCATCCTCCGGTTTTCATGCCGGAGGCGGATTCGACAGATAATTGGGCTTGACCATGGGGGTGGGAGGAAACTTGTTTTCGTTGGCGTTCATGACTGAAGCTTGCGTCGACCCGAGAACGTTGTAAAGTGAGTCTCTAAGAGCTTCGGTGAAAGGAAGTGGGGGACGTGGGGGCAGGTAGTGTGTGGTGAGCAGGAGGATGAAAGACAGACCCAGCGCGATCCACGAAAGAGAGCCAAGAGCAAGTACAGTAGCACTTTGCAACGCAGCAAGGTGAGCGGTACCGCATACAAACACTTCACTCTGGAATATGTGCGGATGGCCGCATGGACGACTTTGTTGTCAAGAATGGCACCACCGCATTCAGTGTGAGCAAGTGGTTTACAGCAGATACACGTGGAAGGCAGAGTTGGTCGCAATCTACAGATCTCGTGAGCCGTGTAGT